CGTTGATTTTTACCAATCATGAGTTTGTGTACAATTTTAAATCTGATGATGGCGCTGTTGTCTCGCCGAAACGTAATGAAATAAACGATGTTTCAAAAATGTTTACCTCACACTTTGACTGAAACCCAGGAAAGATAGGAAAAACCAATTAAAACGCGGCCTTTATTCCCAGCTCTGAGAAGGGGTTGACTTAGAAGGGATCATGTTAGAAAATCCATTGGTATGAAGATTTTTGATCAACCACCCCGTCAACTAGCTTAACAGGATTTAGGAGATTCCGTATAGTAATTATTGTTGACATTTGCAAACTGCATGAGTAGCTACAACGAGAGAATACACATATACCTAAAAGTTAGGACAAGGAAAAAAAGGACAATTCCAGCATTAGTTCGATGCGTTCGGACTGCAGGATAAAATAAGATATAAATACTAGATTTAAAAACTAATAAGTACCTTGGGATGCATTCTGCAATCCTAATTAAAGGTCAAAACGTCGGCAAATAATTTAAAAAGTAGATTATTGTCTCTCGCCTGCAATCTTTTTAACTTAACTTTACCATGAGGATACAAAACTAAGCGATACTTTTTCTTATTTCATGACTCTAAACTATTATTGTTTTCTAAGACAACAAATATAAAGTCAGATTTTTATACTAATTATTTCAATAATTGCTATTGCGAGGCATATTTGCTACCGCAAACCGGTAACGACCTGCTTAGTGTTCTGTTCTCTATATCTAAACCTTTCGAACTAACTTTAAACATTTTTTTTTCGTTTTTGTGAGGCTGAAAGATGTTTTATATGCCTGCTGAAAAGCGGTGAATTTTATATTTCAAAAAGTCAAAAAGCTGTTTTTTATTTTCTTAAATGCATTGTTTAAATGCACCCAAACATTAAAATTTTACCTGCAGAGCCAAAGTGGAAAATAGGAAGAGAATTTCAGAAGCCACGCTTTTGCAATGCATTCCGTATATCACGTTTACAGAATATTTCCTAAATAAAAAAGAATATTACTTAATAATATGTAATCAATTTTGAGAATGATGATGAATGAGATCGTTTCATTCTCAAAATAATTAATTCATCATTAGAATGTCTACAAACATATACAAAGAAACAGCTACTTGTGCAGATAACAAGAATGTGCTTAAAATATCGTTTAGGTATATTTTAACTCCAGATTCGATATAATCAAGATTTTTTTTACTTTCCAACTTTTATCATTTAAAGATTTAGTCATCATAATATTCGTCGAGGTTCAGTAACGATAGTTCCAAAATTAAATTATTTGCCTAAAATAACTGGTCTAAATAATTATTTATATACAGGGTGGTCCTCAGCTAATGTGACAAGAGTCACTGACATATTGTTTCAGGTAAAAATTATTCGTTTTAGGCAAATTTCTCTTATTCTAAAGTTCATAGTTTCCGAGATCCAAGGTGTTACAGCGAAAACTATTTTTTTCCTTTAATAATAAATTTTTAACCTGTTTTTCTACTATCAAGAAGTTTGCGTTCGCGGTTTCTTTAGTTCGAGGAAGCCGATTTTTTTACGATTTAGCTTGTAGTTTCTAGAACGCCAGCTGCAACAGTCTGGAGCCATTTAAAACGTTAGAAATTGTTTGAATTTTAAAATATCGTTCTGTGTTGACATTATAGCATTCTAGGACATTTTCAAAATAAATAGTCTGTTCTGCGTTGCAACTACAAGCTAAGCCATAGAAAATTTGGATTCCTCGATCTAAAAAACCCACAAACACAAATTTATGTACACTGGTTAAGAACAGTTTGACACCCTGCATTTCGAAAACTATTAAGTTTCGAACAAATATTAATACAAAGTCATTTTTTTGGACAATATCGAAATTGGTTATAATAAAGGTTGTTCAGAACTAAAAACTGTGTTCAAATATGCAATTACATCTTACAAATAAAAATCTAATTTTTGTCTACAATAACAATGCAAAAATAAGTTTTTAAAGGAAAGAAATTTTTAATAACCGACACTCACGGAAAAATCAGATACAAGAGCTTTGGGGATGTTAGTAATTTTTCGTTTAAGTAACAGAATTTAATGCAAGCAGAACATTGCATAATCACAATTTTCAATATTGCCAAAAAAAATACTTTACTCGTGAGCATAATTTATATTTTTTAAAAGCGGTTACGCTACTTAAAAAATTAAATATCTGGTAATTGTATTTTATATTTCACAATATGCAGAACCTTTTAATAAAACTATTTTTTTTGGTGGAATTAATAATACAAAAGTTTCCCACATGAAGCAGATAGCAATATCGTCAGCTTATATTAAAAATACATTAAATTTTGATTTTACAGCCTTGTTTGAGTCTTAAATATCTAGCTATAAAAAATAATAAAGTAATTAGAGACAAACATTAAATACATTCTTTAATAAAATCTGAAAGAAACATTTAAATTTATTAAAGATAAAAAGAAAGATAATCTGAAATGCGCTTATAGTAAACGTAAGAACACATAGTTAAGTACCTACAGCAAAAATAATTAATAAAATGAATCATAGTGGAGGATGAACAAAATAAATAAAGTGTGTTTTACCGTGAACTGTTCGTATTTCAGTCTATCACAAAAACGCTGTGGTTGCCGTAAACCTAATTACATAAATTCAATTCAAATTTAAATATATTCCCAATAAAAATTTAATGTACAGCTCATTGGGAAATTTCCACAAAATCTATAAAAACAGCAGATAACTGTTGCATCTAGATAAAATGCCTATATGTACAATGAAGGAAAATAAATCTCATACCCGTTAAAAGGAGAAAATAGATCAACGTTATATTTTGCACCAACAGGTATAAGCATTCAAAACACCCAGAGATAAAAGGGCACGAAGAAGAGTCTGCTTGACTGAAATAATTCTCCAAATTATGTAAATTCGTATTTACCGTTTAGGTCCGGCATAGGATATGGCATCCTGCTTCATTTCTATATTAAGTGGTGTTTCAGATTATTCTTCTTGTTCTTGTATTAAAATTGCGAGAAATCAACTAATTTTCAGACTTGGCACAGAACATTTCAAGCCGTGGCTATGTATAAACTCCCTATGCTGAGAAGTTACTATCTGAGAGTAAAGTAATTCGGTTGAGTAAATACCAAGTAATATTGACGAGATGCAGGAAAAAGTGGGATTTGCTGTCCACAAATTACACTTATTTGCAGATTCAAGTATACAACTCAAATCTCACATTTATGCCATTCAATATTAATCTACCGAAATCATCCCTGGTGGCTTCCGAATGATAAACGTCTATAATGGAAAAGTGAAATCTGGAATCTGTGCACGCGGTATCCCAGCAACAAACACTCCTATATTTCGCACTTATCCTTCTTCTGGCACTTAACCCGCTCCCCGAGCATCCCTCATCCAGGTGAAATCGCAAGGCAACGCCCGTTCCCTACAGGAATCGATCAGGGAACTGTGTAAAAAGCGCATGCGTTTACGAATATGTCGATACGGCGCGTTCGCATACCTATGCAATCGCTAAGGGGTTGTGGATATATTGAGCGACGTTCTGGAAAAATAAGCCACAAATAAACTGAAAATATCCCCCTTCGAAGTCGTGATAGCTCAACGTTCCTTCATCTCTAATGCTTATAAACTTGGGAACAGAAAATTTATCCCTATGTAATTGCTGGGTSTTGATATGTATACAGTTGAAGATAGAGATTTTTTAATGCATCCGTTAAAAGTCTATTAGAGGGTTATTGGGCGGTCAATAAGAGCTGAGCAGTAATAAAGTTTCGCCTGCTCAATTGAGTCTAAAAATAAGTGATCCTTAATAACGATAGTGCTTGGCGCTAATTGTGCCGCAATTCTGTACTGCTTTATTTCTACCTTAAACTGGCAGTTGAAGTTTCTAACGTAGACTTGCAGGTTAGTTCATTGCAAGCGTAACCTAGTTTCTATTGCTACCCTTTATTGTGAAGTTTCAATCAACGACCTTTTTCAGAAATAATTTTCTTGATAATAAACAGTTGTATCAAGAGCCTAACTTCAAGACATTGGTGTGCTTGTGGCTTAAATTAACGTGAAGACTGTTGACTAAACTACAGGTTCCCAGAAATTCAAGCTGGCAACTAATCCATAGGAGAACATTTAAAGTGACTTGGGAGAATGTAGATTCGGGTATAACATTTGTTCCAGAATTCTATTGAATCACCCGTCCAAATATCCAAAGTCATCTTGACCTAAAATATGTAGAATCGTTCCATTTGATCCAGAAACAAAAACTTCTGATCAATTATTGAAAAACCTCACGTCATAAAAATTCTCCCAGATTTTTAATTGGAGGGTCGAAGACCGCGCTTCGCTTTTACGCCCTTGACCTTGAAGGGGAGGGGTAATTAGACGTCGTGGCGCCCTCCAGTTCAGCTAATTGGGGAAGCGTCTTACAGTGTTGCCGAGTCCACTTTATTTGAACTTTTCATTAAATAATTTGGAGCCTCGCCATTGAAGGAAAAATCTTGGAATTCATGGAAGAATCCTATATGTGTTTGATTATTATAACAAACAGTCATAACATTTTATTTACATGTTTTGCATTTAAATATTGAAATTTTCGTAAAATTTATTTAATGGAAAAAACAACCCGGGGTAGGTAAATAGGGAACAATAAGCAAACTTCGTTCGTTTGTATTGTTCAATTTATGAATCACTGCAAGAAAATTGTCCGTGCCGATAGAAGAACTGTTTTTTTATTAGCACCGAAACCGAAGACAATCAATAGTTTTATGGCGTTATTTCTTTGATAAACACTTTATCCTAATTTTGCAACAGCTCATTCTTGAACCGTTCGTCCTTTATACCTATGCAAGACCTTAATAATTAAACCCTAATAATTAACCACATACTCCATTTCGATTCAGTTGCAAGAGCTATTCTATATTTTAAATATTCTGTTAATAACAATTATACAAATAATATTATCTTAGCTAATTTTCGTTTATTAATTAAGAAATGTGACAACACCGAGGACAGTTTTGTTATGGTAATTGGAGACGGGCACGGACGCAATCAAAAGCGCGGAGCTCCGGGAATTTTTAAAAGAATATCCAAAGAGAAATTAGAGTTGAGGTAGGTCAAGATTATTAAAATAAGGGCATTTAATGGGGTCAGTGTTTCAGTTGTTTAGAAAATTACATTGGCGTGCAATTTCCTGTGAATTTCATACGTCGCTTAAATCAAATGAATCCACAATTTTGCGTATGTTGTATGTAGATAATAAATTTGGTTCATATCAGAATTTGCTTGTGTTATTATACCTTTAGTGCCGGTCTTTAGTCTAGGCACTTTTTCCGGATTTATTGGCCAATAAAGTGGGCTAATTATGATTGCAGATACAATAAATTGGTGCGATTTCAGTAAAACCAGAATAAATTTCAATACTTTAGTTCTGGTGTTTTGTGTTGGAAACGATGACTGTAGCCAAAACGCCACTAATTTTCTTCATTAATTTGTTAAACTTATTGCGTACAACACACTTTCAACATCTGAAACACAATAAAAAGAAACAAATATGTGACCCCAAATTGCCCGTGCCACTTTACTTCGTGAATTTTTGTCATTCATTCTAAATTCCTAGAAAATGTTCACAATCCGCGACAAGTCCCCAATAAATCGTACGATTTATCGAGTGCAGGCCGATTCTTGGACCGACTTGCGCCCAGCAGCCTCAAGAGGAAGTCAATGAGTTTTTGGAAAAATTAAATGAAAAAGAGGATTGTATTCCGAGTTCTATCACAAGAACAATATTCTCGTCTCAAGTTTAGAGGAAACATTTCAAGAAACAAAAACGTACCAGAATATTGTTCAAAAAGTTTCACACCCTGCAACCTTAAGCAAAGCCTTGGGAAAACTAATTAATATTTTCAGTTTCTGATTGATGCAAATAGTTAATTCAAGTACCTAATTATTTTATATTGTTTAGCATATTACTCTATTCAATATTTGCTTACTGGTTTTTTACTTTTTACTTCGATAATAACAATAATTGGTTGTCTGTTGATATTTTTTCCTAATTTGAGATTATATGCTAATAATCGAAGTTATTATTACTGTTACTCTATCTTACAAATTATGTATAAATGAGCTGTCCAAGTTTTAATCGGAAACATTACTATTAATTTACAACGCTTAATTGGCCGTTGGTAATATTGAAGAACGAAATACTTTTCAAGTAGCAAGTTATTATTAGACACACATAAAAAAAAACAAGAAACTATGGACAAAGGAATCCAGCAGCAAAACCTGGATTGTTTCGTGGCAATTTCGTCTCCAATCACCGCGAGTAAAATTCTCCACTCGAGTTACAAGGCCTCCTGAAGCAATTCACTTTACATATAAAGTGGGTCCCTAATCCTGCAGGCAGCACTTTTTTTACATAAAATCTATCAAAAAAATTCGCAACCAATCGCGGAAGGGACCACAATTCCTGCGAGCTCTACCTATAGGCTCCGGAACGTAAAACTGCTGCCCATCTCACCCCGCCACATATACGTCGTTCCTTATCCATTTTCTCCCGTATGCCGCCTTCACATACATTCACATACGTCAGAAAAGCGGGGATGAGGGGTGGAAAAGCGCTCCGCCTACAAAAAGTAAGAATAAGAAAGCGTTTTCTTATTCTCTGGAGCTATCGGATCCATAAGGCGAACGGTGTGGGGCGGCCAGGGTAATGGGCGGCAGGAGACATGTTTTATTCTTGGTGCTTTGCACGAAATTCTGGGCCTCTAAAAAATATACACCTTCAGTCACGAGCTATTTTCGAGCTTCTCCAAAACCAGTTTATGTTTTGATATGTTTTGCTGATTCCTTTCACCAATCCGTTGAAAAACCATAGAAATTCTGACTAGATTCTGGCAGATTTGAGAATGTTAAGGTATTAAATATGTTTTCAATTCACACTTTCACTAAGGTTTCACAGTTCACACAGATATTCACAGAATGTCTACAATACTTCCATTGCAAAAAACATGATTGACTAGAATTATTTTTGGTTCGAACCGTTTCCACTGGAACTACTTGTTTTCCAGAATAAAATATTCTTTCGGAATGTTTTTTTTTGATAATGAGTAACGATTAAAGACTTGCTGATAAATTAAATTTCCGAATGTTATTGCAAGATGAATACTTAAATGCGTTCTTATCATCTAAATATGAACGCACAAAAATGAGGTTGAGATGAGTTTAGAGAAGCCAGACTATTAGTAGCTTGAGCAAGCAAAACTAGCTTGAGCTGCGAAGATTTTCTATTGAGTTGGCAAAAGAGTAATTTCGGGTTTTTAGTCTGAAAAAAACAATTTTTTTTTCTATTCAAAAGTGAACTAATTATAGAAACTTAATCAGAAAAACTTCTATTCTGTTCAATGACGTTTCGCTATCTTTCCGGTAACCTTATGATCCCGCGCTCATAGAATTTCTGGGCATTAATAGCAAAAACTCTCAATCAAGTGCAAGTTGAGATCATTATTATTGCTGAAATGTTTGGCACTTAAAAAGTTTTGTAAATTTCGAAATAAATTATAAGCCGATGGTGTAAAATCGGGGCTGTGTGGCGGATACGACATCACTTTCCAACCTGGCTCCAATAGACGTGTTGCTAAAGATATGTGAGACCTCGCATTATCGTGGTGGAACACAATATCTTTGTGATTTCCCAATTCTGGACTTTTCTCTTTGATTGCTTCCTCCAATTTCAGAAGTTGTTGGCAGTAAACATCGGAGTTGAACGTTCGTTTGATTGGAAACAGCTCAAGATGCACCAGACCTTTGTAATCCCACCAAATTGACAGCTTTATCTATTTTGATACAACTCAGTTTTTGATATTATTTTTCCTTGTTCATCAAATTTTATGTACTCAAATATCGAGATTCTTAACACGTCCAAGACGTCTTAAATGATTTTCAATTGTTGTATGTGATGTATTTAAGTGTTTTGCAATCTCGCGCACATACATATGCCGATTCCACTCAATTATGGCTTTCATTTTGTCATCGTCCACTTCCGAAGATCGACTAGAAGGTTAGTCAACTTTCAGGGAGAAATTTCCAGAACAAATTTTTTGAGGTATTTCTGACACGTGCGTTCTGCTAAACAATAAACACCATGAAATTTACATTTCTTTTTGTGAACCCCAGGGCTTTCTTGTCTTTATAAAAATAAAAAGTAAAATGTGTTAAATCACTTTCTTGCTAAGTTAATTTTTGAGAAGCAATTGCTTTTCTACTATCTATTTGCTCAATGTACAAATTGTACCATTCAGAGAATAACGTATGTCATGTACAAACAAGTAAAAAAAAGCTAGATAGTTTACCCTATTGAGCTCATTCTAAACAAGTCAATTTTTTTACATTACAAAGGCATAAACAGCTTTCTGTATTACCAAGAATTACAATTATTGTATTTTTCAAGTTACAAATTGGTTCTTCTTAGAAGGTGAATGCTGAAATAATTTCTCAATTCTCGCTGATTTGTTGGTGGAAACTCAATTAAAATCAATCGAATACATTACGATTTGAAATATGTATTGGAAACAGACAAATCTGCAGTCTCAGGGTGCAGTACTTTGTTTAGTCTTTTTTGGGCTTTTTATATTTACTCATTTACGCATAAAGTAACACATATTACTGAATTTTAAAGAGGAAAATGGTATTTACACGACTAAAGAAAGTCATTATTGCTAAATTTACGATCTTATAAACGTTGCCTATAAAATCTATAAAAACGATGTATATAAACAAATAATTAAAATTTTGAAATTTTGCAATCATCCTCTAAGTATATCTAATAGTTGCTGCATCCCAAGCACTATCAAACTTGAATATTTGCAAAATTATGTGTACCCTTATTTGCTTTACATCTAAATGCAAATAAAAGTTTATTATTTAAATTATTATTTTTCTCTGTTTTTTACCATGTTTCTAGTTGTCTGTTGCTATTAAGCATGGAACAGCTTTGGCCAAACGCATTTACTATTTAACTAGTTATTTATTTAACTTTCTAATAAATAGAAAATCAAATATAAAAATATAAATGTTTTGCGATCATCATGCATAGAATCTTAATTCGTTTTTGTGCATCATTAAAAAATGACTAGAAAAAGGCTTTCCAAAGTCCAAAAAATAATTCGAACATTAAAAATAACAATGACCGATACGTTTCTGTAGTGTGGAACGCTTTCAAACAAATATAGATTAAATTTGCTGTATTAATTAAACTGCTAATTATCTAATTTAGTACAAAGCATGTTATTATTGATTATTACAATAGGACTTTCAAACAAATTCAAAATTGTGGTATTATAGAAAACATACAAATGTTCTCCTGATTATTTATAAGAGATTATACTTTTAATTAAATGTTCAACGAAAGAAAAATGTATTTACAAGCAACATTTTTCGAACTCTGCCTTTCATCTAATAGGTGATAAGCTCAATAAGTATATCTGATTATATCAAAACCACCCTGTTAAGACGATCGTGTTAATTAAGGCCACTAACAGTCGAAAATACGCTTGATTCATGATTTTCCGGATCGATAAGTCTAGCTGAACACATCCGCAAATCATAAATTCTCCCTTCCGGCTTTCCAGATGGCTTAATTATATATAACTTAGTTAATCGGTGAAACAATGGGGCATATAAATCCGTGTCGAAATGAATTGTTCTAATCACCAAATTAGGAACTAAACGATTGCTTCTTTGCTTCTAATGGAATTCCGAGAATTATATTGAAACGAGCTTTGAAGTTATTTATTCTGTCGTATTTTTCATCATTTGACAATAAAATCAAATGATCCAGAAGTTTGGTTGCAGATATTCGTCCTACCTCCCAAGTTTGACATATTGGCTTCATTTTTTTGTTAACTTGACAATAATCTTTTCAGGAATATTCTCGCTCCAATCATGAAGTTCTGAAGTTATTTCTTTACAGCATAATATTTGTTCTTGTTCTGCTTCTGTCCTGTTAGTTCATTTTGGCATTAAATAATTCTCAATTTTTTCAGCTTTCTGAATATACGTGCATTTATTTTCTTTATCTTTGCTGAAAACTGGCGACTAATTAGAGAAAAACAGTTAAAATTGATACTACTGGCACTAGCTGATTAAAACATGTTCAACTGAATTATTTACGTAGTTTAGTTAGTTTATTTCTATAAATGGAAGCCTGCTTGGCAATGCACATGGATGAATTGATATTAAAACAAATGGCAATGCCACCTCGCTCCAGTTAAAGATCAAATT